GATTATTATAAATTTATTTATTTTATACATATATATAAATATATATATTACAATTATGAAATAATAGGATATTTCGCTTTTTGTGTTTTTCTTTTTTTATTAATTTTTCTTTTTTTAAATTGCAAGCAATTTATTTTAATTTTTTTTTTCCAACTAGGAACTTTTTGCTGCTACCGCTTGAACGACTCAAAGCCAATTGAACGTACTGTTGTCGCCTTTGGGAGCAGCTCACAGGGATCGAGCTGAACGACAAAAAGTTGCTGCAGAACGGTAAACAGCGTTTAGCCAATCGGAAAAATGTGGCTCGCGGCGCCTGGAGAAATGCATTTAAGAGGACCAGATGGGTCAACGAACCGCTCACAGAGAGTGTAGGAGAAAACGAATTTAGATTCTAGCAAGCAAAACAAACGCAGAGAGAGCCGAGCTTGTGGATAGATTGCGTGAGCGCACGGTCACGGCGCTCTCGCTCTTTTGGGACATTTCGCAAAGAGAAATTTCCTTTTTTGCTTAAGGCGAGCAAAGCATGAAATGTTGAAGGGAATTTTTAGGGCTTATGCTGAGAAATCATATGATTTATAAGCACCTATAATTATTTCATATTATATAAGAATTTTGAATTTTAAATTATAATTTAACGTAAATTTGGTTTTATTTCATTTATCTTTTCCATTTTAAGTTGTGCAGTATGCAATTTTTGTTGGAAAATGTTGCTAAGCTTTAACAGCCTACTGTTAGCGCTGCTAACAGTCTGTTAACATATTACAAGAATATCATGTAAAAGCAAACTTTGAAAGAAAAAAAAAAAAATGATCTACAGTTTTACGCACACATTTTTTCCCGCCAAAACAAAAAGTAGGAAAAAAAAACTTACCGTAAATCCAAAGAGTTTTTTTAATGGAACAATTTACACAGATGAATTGAATAATTAAGTTAACAAAATAAATATTTATAAAATCATAAATAGGCACAAAATTCGAATTTAGCCAAAGAAAAGACGCTTTATTTATTAAAAAAGTGAAATTTTTAGGCGTAATTACGTCAATTGGTTAAATTTTCAGTTAATTAAATTGTTGGCAGTCGTTTTATTTTTTATATGTGAAAAAAAAAATAATCACTACCGAAGACAGGGGTACAAAAAGAAAAAAAAAAATTAAAGACACGTGCGTGAAAAAATACAAAAATTAGGGAAATTATTGCGAAGCCAAGAGAATAATTATAGTCAAGGTCAAGTGGAGTAAAGCGCAGAATTTATTTCAAATTTCGTTTCTTTTTAAACACTTAAATTAAATGATATTTTTAATAATTCGAAACACAACGCGTCGTAGTAAATGGAAAGGGACTTGGACGGTGCTTTCGTCGTCATTGAAGCGCGTTGACTGTAGAGCGCGAGGCGGAGTTCTTGTCTCGTCTGACCTTCAGGCGGAGCTTTGGACAATTGAAGCAGGGCGTGTTAATAGAAAAAGCTCGCAGATCACAACACGTGCATGGGCAACGCGAGTGCAGCTGCAGCAACGGCACTTGACTAAAAGCTTTTCTTAAAAGCATTTTTCAGATTAGACAGCTGCCAGTAAGCTGCGTAAGCTTAAAAGTTCTCAGCCAGCCCGTTAGATGGCGTTAGCTAAATATAGCAGCGCCTTTACAGTGCTTTACATAAACGTATTTCTGTTGTAGTAGAAGAAGAAAGTCTGAGTTACTTCATTATTTATAATTTATTATTGTTTATTTATGTTCATATATATATATTTAATGTATAGCCATATATACTAATGCTTGCCAGTTGTTTAATTTACTTTTTACATGTATGATTATTTATAAATATATATTTTTTAGTTCATAAAAAAAGACCATAATTAAAAATCCCAATTATAATTACATCGTAAACATGCGATATTCAAAAGCTTCATAAAAAGTATTGCCTACTTTTCAGCGCCAATTAAGATATCAACTTTCGTCTAGCAGAGAACAATATAAAAAGAAACCCATTTAAAATAATTACGAAGAACAAGCGAGTGGCAGAAGGGCAATAAACAGAAGAAACAGCAAAATAATTGAATAATTCAAACACGCACTTAGGCCACATTATAATCTAATACAATTTAACGTCTGAGGCCGTGCGCAAACCAGCTGGCAAAGTTGGCAACATGGGACTAATACGCAGCTACCCGATTTGCCAGCTGCTGCTCATCAGCGGATTACTACAGCATGTACAAGAGCACACATATGCCAT